TTTTTTTTCATTGCTTTACACTGCCTCTTCTGTTCTGCTTTTGAACTGCAGGTTGTTCAGTTTGTACTGTAGCCAGTGTCAAGTGTTCATTCATAAATCTGCACATACTTGACTATCCTCTCTTTTATGAATTATGATATCCTGTGAGGGATGAGGAAATTGATGGATTGGTATCCTTTTAGATGGAAAAACTGATGTTGTTCTGGCATCAAGGCATGTCAACTTAGTTTTCCAGATTCCTTGAACAGCATTAGCATACCCGTGGAATGGGTTCCACCTGTGATATAATATGAGATTAGGATTGAATTTGAACCACAGATTATTTCTTCAAGCTTGTTTGGTATGAGGGGAGGAGGATAAATTTCCTTATTTTGTTTACAAAAATTAGAGAGGACTAAGGAGGGGAGTCTTTTCATTTTCCTCCGATTCCCTCCCATCCTCTCCCCTTCGTTTTCCTTAAAACAAACAAGGGGTCAGTGTTGGTAATAGTAATAGCAATACAAGTTCTTTATATGATATGAAGTCCTAGCTGCTACCAAGTATCAATGTCAATGATAAGATCTCCACGTAGCTCGGTCGTTGGCTAGTCGCTATCCAAAAACTCATGGTTACCTACTTGGCTCTAAGCTATTCAAAACCTGTAGTCACCTGCTCTGTTCTCTCGAATGAATGAATTCTTATGATACTATTTTTTTTTTGTTTCCCGCCCGGTATTCGAGGCTTCGTCCCGACTACTCCGGACTCGACCAGCTGTGGCGCACCAGAATGGTGGGTGGGTCTTCCAACGAAGGTTGCTGCGTACATAAGGTTTCAAACTCGAGACCTTGCTTAAGCTGGAACAAGCCGCTTGCCACTTGTTCCAACCCCTCGTTGGTTAATTTGTTATTGGGGGCACTTGAACTCCGAATCTCTCTTATAGAAGATCAGCTATCTACCAGTGCAACCCACCAACACCATTAACATTTTGACACGCACCAGGTTCGAACACACGTTTCCATTGTGATGGGTGAAGTAACAAAATCGAATGGCCTACTCTGGTCCGTATCATTGGACTCTGAGTTAAGGCTGTTTACTTCCAGTAGGTTGCACGTTCGAACCCCACGGAAACCCTTTAAAACCTGGCCCTTGCGGCCTAGTGGCAATAGCCACCTCGGTGCATTCCCCCCCTCCCCGGGCTAGGTTCGAAACCCACCCCTTGCAAATATGTTCAAAAAAAAAAATATGATACTATGTCAGGTATTCCCGTATATACAATAAATTGGTGAGTAATTCTCACTTATAATTAAATAATTAATAAATTATACTAAATTAACCCCCTTTTTTTTGTGGTTTGGATCTCTGATATTCAGAAGCTCACTTGGTCACTGACTAATCCGGATTTGAACCGGGTATAATTCAATGGGCGACAAAATTTTCTCTTACGAGTTTTAACAGAGTTACATTTTCAGGGTTTTGAAACTAAGACCTTTGGTTAAACTGAAAGAATCCTATGTCAACTCATCCACCTACTCATGGTCTAAATCAATCTTTTTAATTATAAGTAAAGACTACACTTATTCATTTGTGTTACATTAGTGGTGATATTGCCAACGTGGAATTTGTATGGAAGAATTTCTCTTGCTCTAGGGCCATAATTTTTTTTTGGCGAAACTCTGAGACCTTAAGACATCCGATGACGGCAGCAAAGCCCTAACCTGCTTTGCTTTAGGACCTTAATAGAAGTAGAACGTTCGTAGTAGTACTTCTGAAAAAACATTGTAAATGATAGGACCCACATTCGATAAGACCCATATTTACAGCCCAAATTTTGTCCCTTCGACCCAACAAAAGCCCACTCTATGATTCTGTGTCGTGGAACTGCCAGAGTGTCGCTTCTTTTCCATTCTACGCCTTCTTATTGGTCCGATGACGGCAACCCTTAAAACTCGTTGTAACACACGTGTCATGGGAAACAGTCCTCCATCTATGGTTTCCTTGGTCTATAAGCATACACGAAACAGCCATGAAGTTTCTCATTCCTTAGTTTGCTTACCCATGTCCCCTACCGTTCTATAAACTTCATTCGCCGCGGGCGTCCTCTAACAACGAATTCTATTTTCCCCGTTAAATTTTTTAGTCTCAGTTGTTCATTTTATTGTTAAATTTTAGTTTTTTTTTTTTTTTTTAATTTTTATGGAGGCTCATGAATTTGTAGACGATGATGACATAGTTTGGCAAATAGATTGGAATGATCTACCGGATTTTACCGGGGTACTGGATGAACAAGCCCCTGCTGCTTTAACAGTTTCGCCACCCAATCAGGGTTTCTCGAATCCCTCTCCGGATTCCGTGTCTTCGTGGATTGGCGAGGTCGAGAACCTGTTAATGAACGACGATGCTGAGGAGGCGGGATTACAACCTGATGCTTACATTTATGATGACTTTTTGTTAGATATTCCTGTTCATTCACCAACCAATGCCTCTATCGAGGTCGTCGCCAGTGGGAACTCCAATCGCTCTTCCCAGGCAACTGCTGACGACGATCCGCACAAACAGAACAACAGGATCACTGTGCAGGAGACCGGAGCAGATGTGTTCGCGGATCTAGCTGCTGATTCACCTATCAGTGGCTCTACCGAGCTTGGTACTGCTCCTATCGCTGCAAATAATTACGATGTTTCTTCCCATGGATCTGGCAACGGTGATTTGGAGAAAGTGCAGGAGGTCATAAAGGATGTTGAGGATTCTAATGATCCTGTTTCCAAGAAGAGGAGAAGGTACCTTAACCTTTAATTTATTGCAGATTTTGATAGGGTTTATATGTTTGTTCATGGTAATTAAATTGTGATATATTGGAAAAATAAATTGATGTAGTAGGCAGGTTTTTATGTTTAGTGGACTTGACATACTACAATAGGAATATCTGTGTCTGAGGGATCAATTTATGTTATTAAATCTGGTTCTCTCCTTAAGGAAATTGAACTCTTAACTCTTGTTTCTGAGTGTTGTGAAATGAATATTGTGGAAGAATTCTGCTTGATTCAAGAAATTTGAAGTATTTGATGCAGCTGTGTCTATTTGATTTTACAGACAGTTGAGAAATAGAGACGCAGCTGTGAAATCCAGGGAGAGAAAGAAGATGTATGTGAAGGACCTGGAGATGAAAAGTAGGTATTTGGAAGGGGAATGTAGGAGACTGGGGCGGTTGCTTCAGTGTTTTGTCGCAGAAAATCAAGCTCTTCGTCTTAGTTTACAGAGTGGTAGTGCATTTGATGCATCCTCGGCCAAGCAGGAGTCTGCTGTGCTCTTGTTGGGTATGAATCACAAAACCATATTGCCTTTTACATTCTTTATCTTGTAGTTATGTTGGAGGAAAATTTTGCTTTTCATAATCTTGGTATCCTTCTGAAAGATGGAAGAGAAAGGGGTACCCCAGCCAGAAATGAAAGCATGCTTCTGCTACTGCCTGTTAACTTGGATATTGATTTTAATTACGGTGATAACTAGAATATTTTGTTACTCCATCAATCATCTGAACCCTTACTAAACTTGTATTTCTAATTTCTATGGGCTTTTTTAACTCAATGGTATGTTGTTTTACTTATTATGTTTTGTGGTAACTTCTGATGTCATTGAGTATTATTTTTGTTTATCTTGTACCCTATACAGAATCCCTGCTGTTGGGTTCCCTGCTATGGTTCCTGGGCATCATGTGCCTATTCAATCTGCCAAGACTGCCCAAGTCAATCGCGGAGGCAGCTCCAGTGGAAAGCGTGGAAAAGAAAAGTCTAGGAGGTCTGGCGGCAAAAGGGGCAGGGAGTAATGTTGTGGTAGAATCTTTTCTGAAGAACCGGGGATGCAAAGCTTCAAGGACAAAGATGAAATTGGAATTTTTAGGTCTCCAAGTTTCAGCATGAAACTTGTTTGGTATCCCAGTTTTAGGGTATCTATCAGTTGATAGCAAGGAGGTTTTCGTGACTGAAATGATGGTAGGAAGGTGTTATCTTGCCAGTGCAGGGTTTTTTTTTTTTTTTTAACTGAAGCTAAGTAAGTGCGGTTAGTTTTTGTTATTTTTAATCTAGTAGAAACAATGTGGCCTTTTTTTTTCTTGTTTCTTCCTTTTATGATATAATATAATAAAATATGGATTAAAAATATTTATGGTGCAGTGCTATTTCAATTGTTGTGCATTGGTAATGAATGGTCTGGTTTACATTATGTTTTCATTCAATTTCACTGCTTTTCCATTGTGATACGTAATTGTAATGTTATGTACTATTGTGGATTTATAATATGACACGGAATTATATAATTGGTTAGAAAGTTCATTTGTAACATAGTCACTTATTTAATATTATGTTATCAACGATTTAAATAATTTAATAATAATTTTTTTCGTTAAAAATAAAAGATCTTGAATTTGAATTATATGACATGTGAGTAAAGTGAAATAATGAATTGAAATGAATTGTCTCTTGTTGTATAATCAATTTAAAATATATATATTATGTTATATTTTTATTAAGGGTTAATGTTTATTTTTTTTTTTTAAGATTAAGTGGGTAGATATCATTTTTTTATTAAATATTATATAAAATTAAATAATTTTATATAATATTATAACTATAACAATGCTATTGTACGAAGAAAATGACGCAGGATGGAAAATGGCTTGATAGATATATAATTAAAAAAAAAAAAAGAATAAACGGACGGTGATGTGGGCTAGCAGGCAGGCATGGAATGGTGTGTAATCCAAAAGAGGGTGATGACTGATGAGTCGACGAAAAAGGCCGGATGAAGCAGGCTGGGCTGAGGCAAAATCTGTGGATCGTTAGGTGGGGGAAGTTGCAACTTGTTTTCATTTTCGGTAGCGAGTCAGTGGGCTGTTTTGAATTTACAGGAATATCCTCTTTAGAATATTCCAATCTAACTCTCATTCTCTTGCATCACATTTCACATTCCCTAATCCTATCCTCCAGTCATATTTCATTCAACCCCCCTAACAAAAATTAGTAAAAATGACATTTTAAATGACATTTTTAAAGACTTTACAGACTCTATCTATGAGCCATTTTAGCATAAACAAATGACATTTTTCATTGGTTGTATTTTTAATAATGTAATTAATATATTTTTTATAATTAATTTTTATTTAAAGTGTAAATATTAATTTTAATTTAAT